CTCAGTTCACAAATGTCTCACTTAGCGACAGAAATTTTGGGCTCAATTGTGGTCATAAGTGGAGGGCTACCTGTGTGGTGGCTCACTTTCTCTCTTTCATTCAGAATTTTAAATAATGCAGATTTGGACCAAGGTCAGGAAGAGCAAATTGGGTGATTTAGTTTTTTTTTATTATTATTAAAAAGTTTTGTAGAAAATATAAACTATTCCCAACAAAAAGAACTGTGGTGTAAATTTAATTTTTTTCTTTAAAATGTTTTGAATAATCCACCATATTTTTATCCAAAAAGCCCTAATTTTTTTACATGTCCACCATATATGAAAATATGTAGCATCTTTACACTACAATTGGGTGATTTAGTATAAACACTTAGCTGGTCTCTTCTAAGTGCATTTTGGGAGGGGGGCTTATTTATTTTATTTCTATTTATATGCCACCCCTCTCACTGTCCAAAGCGATTTGTACAAAAACTGTTCGCGAATGGAATTTCTGCCAGCCCATAAATTGGGTGCACTTAATTATTTAACCCCCAAATCTGGATTAATAAAGCAGAGTTTCTGGGTTCACTGGAGATGTTACTCCTAAATAAGCAAACCGCTTTCTGATTTAATGCACTGTTCCTCAACCTTGGCAACTTTTAAGATGTATGGACTTCAACTCCCAAAATTCCTCACCAACTGGCAACTTTAAGTTGGCTGGGTGACTTTGGGCCAATCACCTGGAGACGGTGAGTTCTAGTCCTGCCTTTGGCTAGGTGACTTTGGGACATCCTTGTCTCTCAGGCCAGCCCACCTCACAGGATTGTTGTCATGTGGAAAATAGGCGGAGGAAGCCATATTAGGGATGTTCGCTGCCTTGAGTGATTTATAAAACTAATAAAGGTGGGATATAGTTTGAATGTTTTAAATTTTGTCAATGGGTTTTAGTTTGAATGTTTTAAATTTGGGGCCAAAGTCATGTAATTCTTTTAAAAATTTTAAATTTTGTATCGGTATGTGTTTTAGTTCTGGCTGTGCACCGCCCTGAGTCCACTAGGAGAAGGGCGGTATACAAATTGAAATAAATAAATAAATAAATAAATAAATAAATAAATAAATAAATAAATAAATATAAATATAAATGCATCAATTGAAAAACGGGGGTTGGGAATCCCAGTTGGAAGGAAGGAAGGAAGGAAGGAAGGTGAATTGCATCTTGTGTCAAAGAAATGCTTTGCCCATTCAGAGGTTTTTGAGATGGGCAGGGGAGCTGGGGCTGCCCTCCCGGTGTTGTTCAGGCTGAATATGCAGAGGGGTCGGTTCCCCCCTTTCCCCCAGTTGCAAGCCCCTCATTAAAGCCGCCCCCCTCCCTCCGGAAGCAATATGTTGATCTTCCCTTGACAAAGCTCTGTTGAGCTCTGAACAAACTCACCCGGCGGGAGCCTGACCTCACCTGGCCTTCCGTATGGGCTGGCAGGCTGTGTTTGTAAACAGACCTCGGTTGGCTTGCAGGGGGTCACGAGCAGAAGTCAGCTAGTTAATTGAATGTCAGCTCCCCACGGAGCGCCTGACCTAATGAGTCTTCTGGGAGAAGAAGCCGAGAAGAGCTCCTGACACGGGCCGGCCAGCCAAGGCTGCCAGGAATTTGAACACGGCCCCGCTGCTCTGCCTGCAAGCTGGAGCCCCTGCCTGCATGGATGCCGGGATGTCGGGTTGGATGCTTGTCTGTTTGCAAGGCTCTGGAAGTCTAAGCCAGGATCAGAAAGGGCAGGAGGGGGCTTCTTGCGTTGGGCAGGCTGGCTCTGGCGGATCCCTGGATCCGTCACTGGAGGTCTTCAAGAAAAGGCTGGACAGCCATTTGCCCACAATGGTATAGGGGTGGGGGTGGGCTAGAAGACCTTCAAGGTCCCTCCCAGCCTTAGGGATTCTATGATCCTAGGAGCCTATGAGTCTATGACTGAATCTATCATTCTATGATTGAGTCTATGATTCTATGATTGAGTCTACGATTTTATAATTGATTCTATGATTGATTCTATGATTTTATGATTGATTCTATGAGTATGATTTTATAATTGAGTATGATTTTATAATTGAGTCTATGACTTTATAATTGATTTTATGATTGATTCTACGCTTTTATGATTGATTCTATGATTCTATGATTGAGTCTACGATTTTATAATTGATTCTATGATTGAGTATGACTTTATAATTGATTTTATGATTGATTCTACAATTTTATAATTGATTCTATGATTCTATGATTGAGTATGATTTTATAATTGATTTTATGATTGATTCTATGGTTTTATGATTGGTTGTATGGTTTTATGATTGATTCTATTGATTTTATGATTTCATGACTTCTATGATTTTAACTATTCTATGATTTTATAATTGATTCTCTGGTTTTATGATTGTTCCTTGATTCTATGACTGATTCTATGATTCCACGATTGTACGAATTAGTAAGAAGTGGTGTGGGTGCATGCATGGAACTTTTATGGAGGGGGAGGGGTCTCATGAAGGGGAGCTTTTTGGAATGATGCAAGCACAAAGATCAGGTTGGCAGAGCCATGACCCTCTTAATGGCTTCCAAATATAATTGACCAGGCTCTCCTGCCTGAACAGGGGCGGCTTCCCCCCACGGATGGGGACGGCTGCCTGAACGGAAATCTGGAAACCATGGTTAAAAACTCTCCCCAACTGATGTAATCAGGAACAGCAGAACAGGGGTGCAGCCACATTTGCAGAAGACCCCCAAATATGCCTGTCTCTTCAATGTAATGAATGAAGGATCCCATACAGGCAGCTCTTGACCTATGAGAGCTTGCCTATCTGGGGGTGCGTATGAGTCAGTGTATAAGAGTTCATGAATTGGAATAGACATGGCAACAGCTCAGCCAATGGGGAGTGTTTGGTGACTGAGACAACTTGGAGCCTAGGCGTGGCTTAGCTTGACTGATCTGTATATACAGCATATAAGATTGCTTCTGTGATTATATAGATTCTGTGCTTCTGGATTCTGAGTTCTGCTGCCTGCGTGTTGTATACATGCATCATGCTTTATATTATTGTGTATAGACAAGTTTTTTCTATAGAAGGATCCTGCTGAATTATTTACTTGTGTGCTGGTTGGATTGCTGCAAACTCTTAACAGGATGACCCAGATTTGAAGTTCTTCCTGCAGTCATGGCATGGCACTCGGAGCATTGGTGCTGGGCCATATTCTTTTTTATTGAAAAAGTTTTAAAACAAACACAATTTCCCCACAACCCCCCCTCCCAACCCCCCCTCCCCCTCCCCGACTTCCCAGAGCAGAACACAAGGTATTTCTATTGACCTTTAACAATAAACTAAATTGCATAACCAATCATTAAACTAACACCCCTAAAAAAATTTTTTTCTTAACCCCCCATATATAAAATCCTATTTCTTAAACATAATACTTCTAATATCACTTATATAACGCTTATACAAATAAAAGAAATCATTCATAAGCTATTTGATATTTTTTGGTCTGATACTTATTTTGTATATAATCAATCCATCTTCTCCAGTCCTGTATGTACCTTTCTTGTGTGTGATCCTTCAGATATGCTGAAATTTTAGCCATTTCAGCTAAATTAGTTACTTTCAGTATCCAGTCATCAATAGTAGGTAAAAAGTCCTTCTTCCAGTGTTGTGCTACCAACAATCTTGCTGCTGTTATCAAGTTCAAAATCAATTTGGTCTCTACAACTGTACAGTCCGTAGTTATTCCCAGTAAGAACAACTGTGGAGTAAATTTCAGTCTCTTTTTAAGAATATTCTGCATCACCCACCAAATCTTTATCCAAAATGCTTTGATTTTTCTACAAGTCCACCATATATGATAATAAGTTGCATCATCACAGTCACATCTCCAACATTTAGCTTGCACATTAGAATACATACATGATAATTTTTTTAGGATCTAAATGCCATCTATAAAACATTTTATAAAAATTTTCTCTTAAATTTTGTGCTTGTGTAAATTTCACATTTCTAATCCAAATCTTTTTCCAAGTCTCCATCATTACTGGTGCTGGGCCATATTCTTGACTGTATGTAGCATCTCGTGGTCACGTGGCCACAATTTAGGTCGGTTTTGCTAAAAACTAGCATTAACTTCCAGTTTTCAGCAAAACCATACCCATAGTGAATGGTTGGTTTGCTTAATAACCAGGCCATTTCAGCAGGTTCTGACAGGTTCTGGAGAACTGGCAGTGGAAATTTTGACAGTTCGGAGAACTGGCAAATACCACCTCTGGCTGGCCCCAGAGTGGGGTGGGAATGGAGATTTTGCAGTATCCTTCCCCTGCCTGCCCACCAAGCCACACCACGCCCACCAAGCCACGCCCACAGAACCGATAGTAAAAAAAAATTGGATTTCACCACTGGGCCATTTGCTTAACAACCACAAAGATTCACTTAACAAAAGCTGCAAAAAAGGTCATAAGATTGGGTCAGCCGTGTGACCAACCAACCCATGAAGGAAGAGGAGGAGGAGGGGAAGGGAAAGGGGAAGGACTGTGGGGTCCTTGGTGCTCTCTGAGCTTGGTGGTTTACTTGCAGACGTTTCATGACCCAAATAGGTAACATCATGAGTGCTAGAAGGGAGGGGGGTTTGCAGAGGAGGGGAGGGGGAGGGGAGAAGGAGTGGGATAGAACAATTTATGCTGGTAAGATTGTGGTCTCTACAGTCCATCTCAATCAAACAGGATTTCCCAACTTTGGCATGTTTAAGACCTGTGGACTTCAATCGGGGAATTCTGGAAGTTGAAGTCCAGGCATCTTAAACTTGCTCAGGTTGGGACACCTTGAAATAAAAGGATTTTTATCCTTCTGTGGAATGGATTTCCTGGTCTGGCTCCCTCGTCAGACTGACTTCCAGTCGAATTAATCGCGCCCAACAAATGTGCTCCACTAGCAATGCCATGGTCCACTCAGGGAGTCAGTCAATCCTCTCCCAGCCTGGTCTCCCCATTCATGCCCACCATCCTGGAGGAGAGGCCCATGGCCATCCTGCTCCCCTTCCTCGACCCCCTCTGGAAACCGCGGGCTAAAAACAAGGGAACCACAGAGTCAGCATGGATAGAAAATACCCCAGGACGGGGCAGCAGGTCACCGAAATGCTTCTCCAAGCGTCTTCCTAAGAGGATTAGACCAGCAGGCCCTTGCCGACATCTTCGCTGTAGGTCAGCCGAAGGACTGAGCCGAATCCGTCGAGGGTTTTCATTAAGAGCCAGCTCCTCAGGCTCCATAAGTGGCTGCAATTCCCCGTCTCTCCATCTTTGACAAGGTATTTGCTGAGGTTGGACTTCTCCATCCTTGTGGTCTCCATCCGAGGCCACCAGCCTGCTGAGAAAATTTCATTATATTTGCTTCGCAGGCAGATGAGGCCGACTGGAGCCGGATTAGCCGGATGGCAAGAGGGTTGGAAATGAATCTTTGCTTTGCTTGCAAACTCAAACTCCTGGGTGGGTGCATGGATGTCTGGTGGAATGCTTGCCTGTTTGCAATGCACTGTAATTCCAGGCAAATCCAGAGCTCTAGTAATATACCACCAGTCCTCAACTTATGACCACAATGGGGGCCAGAATTGCTGTGGCGAAGCAAAGCAGAGTAACAAAATTGGAAGGGGTTTTGGACCCCTTCTAGCCCAATCTGAAGCAGGAGACCCTATGCCATTCCAGACAAATGGTTGTGCAAACTCTTCTTAAAAACCTCCAGTGATGGAGCACCCACAATTTCTGAAGGCAACTTCCCTTCCACTGGTTAATTGTCCTCCCTGTTAGGAAGTTCCTCCTGAGTTCTAGGCTAGGTTCTAATGATCTTCCATCCATTACTTTTTTGTCCAGAATAGAATACAGAATAACAGAGTTGGAAGGGACCTTGGAGGTCTTCTAGTCCAACCCCCTGCTTAGGCAGGAAACCCTGCACCACTTCAGACAAAGGGTTATGCGATCTCTTCCTAAAAGCCTCCAGTGTTGGAGCATTTACAACTTCTGGAGGCAAGCTGTTCCACTGGTTAATTGTTCTCACTATCAGGACATTTCTCTTTAGTTCCAGGTTGCCTCTCTCCTTGATTATTTTCCATTTGTTGCTTCTTCTCCTGCTTTCAGGTGCTTTAGAATCTAGATTGACCCCCTCTTCTTTGTGTTGTTTTTGTTAGTCACAAAGTCATGTCCGACCTATCGCGACCCCATGGACCACGTTGCTCCAGGCCTTCTGTCCTCTACCATCCCCCGGAGTCCATTGAAGCTCACGCCAACTGCTTCAGTGACTCCATCCAGCCACCTTGTTCTCTGCCGTCCCCTTCTTCTTTTGCCCTCCATCGTTCCCAGCATTAGGCTCTTCCTTCTAAGGAGTCCTTCCTTCCTTCTCATTAGATGGCCAAAGGATTTGAGTCTCCTCTTCAGGATCTGGCCCTTCTAAAGAGCAGTCAGGGTTGATCTCCTCTAGGACTGACCGGTTGGTTCGCCTTGCAGTCCAAGGGACTCGCAGGAGTCTTCTCCAGCACCAGAGTTCAAAGGCCCCTCAATTCTTTGGCGCTCTGCTATCATTTCACAGACACATCCTTCTAATCCTTTTTTTTTTTTTTTTTACTAAACTAGACAAACCCAATTCCTGCAACCATTCTTTGTATGTTTGAGCCTCCAGTCCCCTCATCATCCTGGTTGCTCTTCTCTGCCCTCTTTCCAGAGTCTCCGCATCTTTTTTACATCGTGGCGACCAAAACTGGATGCAGGATTCCAAGTGTGGCCTCACCAAGGCCTTATAAAGTGATATTAACACTTTTAACGTGATCTGGATTCTCTCCCTCTGTTGATGCAGCCTAGAACTGTGTTGGCTTTTTTGGCAGCTGCTGCACACGGCTGGCTCATATCTAAGTGGTTGTCCACCAGGACTCCAAGATCCCTCTCACAGTTACCACAAGTGAGCCAAAGCTCTTGTTAAGGTTAGAAACCCTGGCCTTTGTTGATGCTGACTGTTCTTCCTTTGCCAAGATATCACCGTCCCCAGAAGCAACTGGTACAGATACAGATTAACAGAGTTGGAAGGGACCTTGGAGCTCATCTAGTCCAACCCCCACCCAAGCAGCAGACCCTACCTACACCATTTCTGACTAATGGCAGTCCAGACTCTTCTTGAAAGCTTCAAGGGATGAAGTTCCCACAACTTCTGAAGGCAGCATCTGTTCCCTTGGTGGATTGTTCTCACTGTAAGGAAAGTTCTTCTTATTTCCAGGCTGAATCTCTCCTTGTTCAGTTTCCATCCATTATTCTTTGTTTGGCCTTCGGGTGCTTTGGAGAATAGCTGGACCCCCTTCCTCCTCTCTGTGGCAGCCCCTCAAATATTGGAAGATGCTCTCCTGTCTCCCTTGGTCCTTCTCTTCACTAGACCAGCCATGCCCAGTTCCTGCAACCATTCATTGTATGTTTGAGCCTCCAGTCCCCTCATCATCCTGGTTGCTCTTCTCTGCACTCTTTCCAAAAGCTCAACACCATTTTTTTATAGTGTGGTGACCAAAACGAGAGCCATCAAAGTTGGTGGAGAGATTTTCCCAGGTAAGCAATGCATGCAAGGCAGATGGAAAGACATCTGCATCCAAGCAGGGGATTATGGTCCAAGCTGGACACCGGTACACGGCTGGGGCATTTTTCTTTTGACCCAGAAAATTCCCCCTGCATCTGAAGGGGGCAGGAATGTGCCCGCCTGGTAGCCCAGATGGCCAGCAAGGGAGCTAACTGGGCATTGGAACAGCAGGGGCAGGAAATGACCGTCTGCCGGGGCCGTTTGTAACCCGGGGCAGAGCAGGGAGCAGCAGGGAAGGAGAGCAAGCCGGCGCTGGGGTGGGAGGAATGTGGTGGCCGGGAATTATGGCTGCAGAGGAGGGGGAGAAGGGGAAGGGGAAGCCACCGGTCTGGAGCACAATAGCAGGCTGCCTGGGTAATCCTTGGTGCTTGGACAGGCAGGCGCGATGGCTGGCGATTGTTCTAGCTAAATTATACATCGCCTAAGCGGATTTTTTTCTCTCTGCTAATCAGCCCTTTTCTTCTGCACAGGGAGTAAATCTTAGCTGCAAACTGAAGGAGGTGCAAGCGTGAGCATGTACAGGAAGTCCTCGAGTTACGACCGCAGTGAGCCCGAAATTCATGTTGCTAAATGAAAAAAATTGTTGAGCTTTGCCCTATTTTATGACTTTTCTTGCCACTGTTCTTAACTGAATCATTGCATTTGTGACAGCATCATCACCAGATGGATTCGTAACTGGCTGACTCAACGTGGAGTCCTCAATGGAAAGGCATCTCCATGGAGGGAAGTATGCAGTGGGGAACCCCAGGACTCTGTTTTAGGCCCAGGGCTCTTCAACGTCTTCATCGATGACTTGGATGAGGGGATAGATGGGGAACTCATCAAATTTGCAGACGACACCAAGCTGGCAGGAATAGCCAACACTCCAGAAGATAAAGGCTCAAGATACAGAAGGATCTTGACGGACTGGAACATTGGGTGCTATCTAACAAAATGAAATTCAAGGGTGAAAAAAGGAAGGTTCTACATTTAGGGAAGAAAAACAAAATGCACAGGTACCATATAAGTGGCACCTTACTCAATAGTAGTAACTGTGAGAGGGATCTTGGAGTCCTAGTGGACAACCATTTAGATATGAGCCAGCCGGGTGCAGCAGCTGCCAAAAAAGCCAACACAGTTCTGGGCTGCATCAACAGAGGGAGAGAATCAAGATCACGTTAAAAGTGTTAATACCACTTTATAAGGCCTTGGTAAGGCCACACTTGGGATACTCCATCCAGTTTTGGTCGCCATGATGTAAAAAAGATGTGGAGACTCTAGAAAGAGTGCAGAGAAGAGCAACAAAGAGGATTAGGGGACTGGAGACTAAAAACATAGGAAGAACGGTTGCAGGAACTGGGAATGTCTAGTCTTATGAAAAGAAGGACTAAGGATGACATGATAGCCGTCTTCCAATATCTCAGGGGTTGCCACAAAGAAGAGGGAGTCAAGCTATTCTCCAAAGCACCTGAAGGTAGGACAAGAATCAACGGGTGGAAATTAATCAAGGAGAGAAGCAATTTAGAACTAAGGAGAAATTTCCTGACAGTGAGGACAATTAATCAGTGGAACAACTTGCCTCCAGAAGTTGTAGTTGCTCCAACACTGGAAGTTTTTAAGAAGAGGTTGGATAACCATTTGTCAGAAGTGGTGTAGGGTTTCCTGCCTGGGCAGGGGGTTGGACTAGAAGACCTCCAAGGTCCCTTTCAACTCTGTTATTTTATTAAGTGTGAAAAATAGTTTTTCAGTGCCTTTGTAACTTCAAATGGTCACTAAATGAATTATTTCCTGTAATTTCCTGCCTTATCAATTCCATGTGTCTCTGTTCTTCTCTTTCTCTGTGGATGGATGGATGGATGGATGGATGGAGAGAGAGAGGGAGGGAGGGAGAGAGAGAGAGAGGGAGAGAAATACCAGTTTCCAGTTTGGACCATAATCCCTGCTTGGATGCAGATGTCTTTCCATCTGCCTTGGATACATTGCTTACCTGGGAAAATCTCTCCACCAACTTTGAGCATCATTTTGGTCACCACACTATAAAAAAAAAGATTGAGACTCTAGAAAAAGTTGCAGAGAAGAGCAACTAGGATGATTGGGGGACTGGAGGCTAAAACATACAAAGAACGGTTGCAGGAACTGGGCCTGGCTAGTCTAGTGAAGAGAAGGACCAGGGGAGACATGAGAGCATCTTCTGATATTTGAGGGGCTGCCCCAGAGAGGAGGAAGGGGGTCAAGCTATTCTCCAAAGCCCCTGAAGGCCGGACAAGGAATCATGGATGGAAACTAACCAAGGAGAGATTCAACCTGGAAATAAGGAGGAATTTCCTGACAATGAGAACAATCAACCCATGGAACAGAAGTTGCCTTCAGAAATTGTGGGAGCTCCATCATTTAAAAATAACTTTTTAAGAAGAGACTGGACAGTCACTTGTCTGGAATGGCATAGGAGCTCCAGCAGGGGGCTGGACTAGAAGACCTCCAAGGTCCCTTCCAGTTCTATTCTGACAAATGAGTTTCCTTTCAAACTATCAGTCTGAAAGAGAGAGATGGGGAAGGAAAAAAGGAAGGAAGGAAGGAAGGAAAAAGAAAAAATAAAGGGAAAGAAAAAAGAGAAAAAAGAAGCAATGGTAGGAGGAAGGGAGGGAGGGAGGGAGGAAAGAAAAGTGGAAGGAAGGACCCACTATTATTTTGTAGGTACTTATTTCTAACCATCTTGGTTTTTCCCCTTCTAGAAGTGATTCAGCTGCTGTC